AGGAGTGACGGGTTTCAAGGGGAAATAAGTGACGGAAGTGGTTTAGGCGTTTTAAGGAGGAAATGATCCGGCGGGAGATGTTGGATACATGGTTTTTCCAGTGGGCGGGGTGGCCGAATGGGCTAAAGCGTGTGCACTGCACCGCCGTTGCCCGGCAACCAGATATATGAATTAAAGATATAAAAATAGTCACGAGTTCGTGTCCCGGTGCCGGGGGAATCTTTTAAATCCCCGCTCACACTCCCTGGCCCGGGAAAATCCCGTATAGTCTTAACGGCGAGGAAGGGAAGGACCAAAAAAAAAAACAACAAAAAAAACATGGTTTTTCCAGGAAAGCGTTTAATCGAAGGTTATTCCAAAGTTTTTATAGAGGGATAAAATTTGATGGGATTATCATGTAGGAAAAGAGTTGGAATATGTGGAACAGTTTTAAGGAGGTGATTGGAGCCAATTAAGATTGCCTTTGTCTTTTTCGCATTCAACTACAACTTGTTGGCTCTCGCCCAGTCACAAATCTTATCCAAGTCTTCTTGAAGTTTTTCTGTGGCTGATAATAGGTCGGAGGGCGGAAGGACAGGTATATTTGGAAATCATCAGCATAGATATGGTATTGGGAGTGACGGATCAGGAGAGGAAGGTCATTAATGTAAATAGCAAACAGAGTAGGCGATAGAGAGGAACTTTGAGGGATACCACAGGAGAGGGGGAGAGTCTTAGATGGGAGTTGACCTGGGAAGACTACATACTGGGACCAACTTGAACCAGCGCAGGACACTGTTGGATATACAGCATATTGAATATACAACATCTATTTAAAATTTCATGGAAACTGAAAGGATACGAAGTGATTGAACGGGCGGCATTTAAAGGTGGGGAGGGTATTGGAACGACGGATGTAGAGAGGGATAAAATTCCATAGGAATAAGGATCGGATAATGAAAGTCTGTCGAAACCAGTGGTTCGGTCAGTCCTTGTATACAAATCTGAATACCGGGAACGGGTCTAGCGGGAGTAGACGGAGGATTTAAATTGAAGAAGCTCAGAGATATATGAAGGACGACAGGATTGGATGACTTAAAGGAAGAAGGATGCTGGGAAGTACTTTCGATGCACAGTGGGGCCAATCAATGATCTAGGAAGACAAAAACAACTTTCAAAATATGAGAAATGGAAAACAACATACTTTTTAAAAATATTTAGTGACCTAAAAAGTGGTCTAGTCAAAATTCCAAGTTCGTTTAAACTCTCACAGTAGAGTCCGGAATGATATGAAGGTACTGAGGTTAAGATGGATGGGGCAAGTAGCTCGAAGCCATCCATCTTCTGGAAGCCTCTATGTAACAATGAATGCCTCAATGGAAGACGAAATACCACGTAAAAGGCCAAAAAGCAGATGGATAGATAGAATTAAAAAAGATGTAATAGAGCTGAGAGCAGATAACTGAAAAGAAATAGCGCAAGACAGAAATGCAGCAGGCTTGTTAAGGTGGCAAAAGATCAACAAGTAACTGTAATGAGAACAGAAAAAAAAAAATTCCATACTGATTTTCAATTTATTAATATTATTGTCATATTTTTTTCATTTTTTAGAATTTCCTTAAAATTAAATTTTCAGCATAAATTTAATTTATATTGACCTAATTAATGCTATAAAAGTTTTATTTCTGTTTGCTTGTGACGAACACATGATTTCCAGCTGAAACTTCTGCTCAATGAGTTCTGTCCCTCTAGATCGGCTATCGACTGTGTGACGATAGGAAGGATAAAGTCACTTCAGCTCTTCATAGAAATGAGAGATAGACGCGTCCCTTGGGGTCCCGAAAATGAATCGTACAAAACAATTTATGAAACGCCGCTCATATACCGTACAGCAATAGTCGAAGTGAGAAAATGGCCTACGGATTTCAAATAGGTGACGGAGGTAATTTAGAAGTTTTAAGTGGGAAAGGCATGGCAGGAGATATTTAATACATGATCTTACCAGGAAAGGGTTTGACCAAAGGTTGTTCCAAGGTTCTCAACTGTGAGATAAAATTTGATGGGATTATAATGTAGGAACAGGGTCGGAATATCAGAAACAGTGTTAAGGAGGTGATTGGAGCCTATAAATATTTTCTTTTTCTTCTCTGCATTCAACCTCAACTTGTTAGCTCCTGCGCAGTCACGAATCCTATTTAGGTTTTCTTAAGTTTTAAAGGGAAGTACAGGTATATTTGAAAATCGTCTGCATATATGTGGTATTAGGGTGATGGATTAGGAGGGGAAGGTGATTAATGTTAATGACAAACAGAGCAAGGGATAGAGAGGAACCTTGAGATACGCCCCAGGAGAGGGGAATGGTCTTAGATGGAGGTTGACCTGGGATGATTACATACTGGGACCGATCTGAGAGGAAGGATTTGAACCAGCGCAGGGCGCTGTTGGATAGATAAACAGTTTACGATTACTTAAGGATGCCGCTATAGTCAACTATGTCAAACTCTTTAGAAAAATCTAAAAGTATAAGGATAATAAATTTTTGGTGTTCAATGGAGTTTTTCAGCTCATGCGTCATTTTAAGGAGTGCAGATTGGTTTGAGTAGTCAGGTATAAAGTCAGATGGGTTGATGCGGAAACGTCTCTCAAGGAATTTGGAAATTGTAGACAAGGCGTTCAGGTTAGAAGGGAAAGGTTAGAAAGGAAAGAAATAGGACGGAAGTCGTTTAGTGCGAAGGGATTATAAGTTGTATTCAAAGGTAGTTACGGCATATTTACTACATACATAGCTACTACAGTAGTGGTATTCAAGGTTATTCAAGCACTCAATGTTCTTATATATGGTGTCTTCAAGGAATATATAAACCCTTATAGTTAGAGTCAATGTTAAAAAGTAGACGGAGGAGGTAGTATAGTAGGGGAAGGACCAGCTTCAATAAATGCGCAAAGATTTAAGGAATATGGAGAGTAGTAATATGGTTATCTTTGGTATTTGGTGTACAGTGATAATAGTCATGAGTTCTTGTCCCGGTACCAAGGCGTCTTTTAAATCCCCGCCCACACCCTCTGGCCCAGGAAAATCCCGTATAGCCTTAACGGCGAGGAAGGGGAGGACCGAAAAAAAAAAGAAGGTATTTGGTGTACATGGTTGTTCAATATTAAACCTTGTAAGGTGTACTTAGTGTAATACATTTGTAAATACATTTTAGTAGATACAAATTTGTTTGATGACTTGATAATCAGCTATTCAGCTCAAAACATCGTTGGAAGTAGAATAACAAATTTGAAAGTATAAGGGTTTATATATTCCTTGAAGACCCCATATATAAGTAGTTTGGGCAGTTTTCCATAGAGATGGGAATATGGATTTTTACAATGAAAAGTTATATATTTGTTAAAATACGATAATAAGGACAGGAAGGCTGGATGTTAATAGTTTTACTGAAATATAGTCAATTTCTTCGCAGACCAATTACGATACAAAAAAGTCTTCAAGATTGAAGTTATGATGTTCAATTTCGTAAGTAGGAAAAGGAAGAGAAGGATAAGAAATGATCATTGAAATCATTAGGAGTCACAGAGAGAGAAATGAGATTATTTGATTCTGGTAGAGATAGATTACGAAGTATTTTTCATTTGGATTTGGCGCATTGGAAAGGGCATTGTGAAAGTAAATGGATTTAACAAGTCGTACTGCGGATTTCCGAGTGCATTGCGAAGTTCTTTTAAAGACTCATAATCAACAGAGAAATGGGTTCGGCGATATTTGTGCCTTGCTGCATCCCTTCTTTTTAATTCCTTAATTTCAGGGGTCAGCCAAGGAGCAGTGGGACGACGAAAGGTCATAGATTTCAGAGGAGCATGGATATCTAATATGAATTGTATGTTTGAGGTAAGGCTGGATACCATAGAATCATTGGACTTATAGGAATATATGATATCCCATTTGAAAGAATCAGGATCAGGTTGAAGGGATTCATAGGAGAGAGTCGTTTCAGTATTACTTTTAATTTCTTCATCCGATATACCCTTATATACTTCTCTCATGATATCTTTTTTTCCACAATAAATCAAGAGGTATAAGCTTTCAGATTGCCAGTTTTATTATTATTAATTTCTGAAATTAGTTAATTTGCTCTATCCTTAAATTTTTGTTCGATTTTTATCTGATTTCTCCCTATTGATTTGATATTAATAATAGATTTGTTGAATTGAAGAAAATTTTTGAAGAGTTTAGTTCTTAAACTTGCTGGATGAAGTTTTCCAACATTACGACCCTCAAGAACCAATTCAACGAATACATAAAATGGACCTGAATCAAAATTATTATATTTGAGCGGTATAAATGCCTTGACTTGAGAAACTTGCGACAACCCGGCATCTTTCGACACAATATCCTTCAAAACAACATGATTATCCTCCCCAGATTTATCTGGAGGGACATTTCGAGGATCCTCATCCTCGGGCATGTTTTTAATTGATTATAAAACAAATATTTGAAATAAAATATAAGTTCCTGTAAACCAGTCCAAAAAAGACGACTGCTACACAACCCGCTATGTTTGCTCTGTGATTACTGAAACACAACTTATTCTTTGATTCTTTCGTGTGAATTATTTGGGAGTATGATTCTATCATAAAAATCGACTGTTTGATTCGATGCTCTATTTACCTTCCCATCACTACTTAACGCCCTTTATTTACGGCGCTGAATATTAAATTAAATAAACATAAAATTGTTAAATAAAATTAAATGAACTTTTTTAAATATAATTTATCCTTGAATTATTCTAGAGGGATAGGTTTGATTAAAATAATAGTAAAATAAGAATTAAATATTTAGCGTTAGAGTTGGCTGTGATTAGAGGAAAATATAGATAAGTTTGACGGGTTAATGCAGGAGTAACTTGGTAACTTTGCTTCTCTCTCTTTGCCTGTTTTCGTCTCTTCTATGTTTGGGTGTCATACCCGACCTATAATCTCTATGTTCTAAATAATCGATTTTATCCAGTTTATGATCAAACAAATTAGTCATAATCGAAAATTTAACTGACTGATGTGTTTATAGTTTACTTAGTGTGAATTTTATTAGATTTATAATTGTTTTTATATTTGGATTAACGTCCTTTTCTACTCCAACTAAGGCGGAAAGGACGGGTTATTAGATTTTTATGGTGAATTGTTTATTACCGAGGAATTAAGTAATATAATTCAAAGTATCTTCATAATGTCTAATGAATCTGTTAAGACTGTAAGTAACTTACAGCACTTAGATAGGTGTATATTTTTATTTTATAGATAAATTTTGTTTTAAGCATTTTATCATTAACGTTTTATTAGAAGGTATTCAGCTCAGCAAATGTCAAATTATTTGAGTTACATTTTACCCCCTTGATTCTTTGATCTTTATAGTCTGACAATTATTCAGTCTTGAAATATCTATTGGTTGCCGAAACATCAAGTAAATATCTGCTAAGTTTCTATGTTTCATTTCATTTTATTAGATATAACATAGTTCAGTTCTTTTGTTGGCTCTTACTGGTAATAGTGATACTCTCCACATCTACATCAACACCTTGAGTTCATCAATGGCATGATTTCGCCCAGTTTAGAGATGGTTCTGATGCCATTGATGAGCTCAGCAATGAGTTTTGGAAATTGCTCATAATTATGCCTTAGTAAATTTGTAAGTTTAGTGGGTAACCTACTTTTGATGTAATAAATTTCAATGTACTCAATACCTACAGATATAGCATGATTACAGTTATACATATTATGGTACTAGTTCTGCGAAAGTTCCGTATGGACTAGGCGTGGTTCACAATCACTTTGGTCACACTTGTTCATGAAATGCTGAAAATAGTTGAATGTTGCCAAATGTTATGATGTCAGCACTTATCCCAACCACCCATTCCCTTTTGATACATGTTTGAAAAACCCACATATTCCTACCATAATACTTGTTTATTAATGAATTATTTATTAAGTTTGTTGGGATCATGAAATAATCAATTATGGATTTCTCACCACTACTTGGCTTGATTTTGTTATATATACATGAATGATTATGCGGTTTAAGAGTGTTTACCAAAACAAGATCGTTATTTAAGCCCAAGTTTAAAATTCTTTCTCCATTATCATTTACAACGTCTTCTCTATGCATAATGGTTACTACTTGCCAATCGGTCACATTTCTTCCCATTCTCCTGTTCAAATCACCTACCATAATAGGGATTCCTTTTGAGTTGTCAATTTCATTTTGCACAGCTTTAAATAATTCTTTGTCTATTAGGCATGCATCTTCGTTTGGGTCATAGGCTATAATTATATTGAACTGCCATTCACCTTCCTCCAGTATAACTGTCATTAGTCTACAATTAATTTTTGTTCTTACTGCTGCTTATTAGCATTTTTTAGTTGATTAAAATTTTTATACATGTGAGATTTATTTTTTAGTTTGGTCTTGAGACACCCAATTATGTTGGGTTTGCAAATTTGCCTAACCAAGTTCATCGAAAATCTGTTAAAAAAGGATTTGAATTTACTTTGATGGTTGTTGGAGAGTCTGGATTAGGTAAATCTACTCTGGTTAACAGTCTTTTCCTAACTGATCTGTACCCAGACAGGAAGATTCCTGATGTTGTCGGTAAGAATTTATCTTTATAATTTTGGATCTGTATACTTTTTGTACAATATAACTTATATTATAATTAATTTACATTTCTCATGTGATTGATTAATATGTTTAAGTATTAAAAAAGAATTTGAGGTTCATCTCAATATTATGAGTTTTAATAATGTAAAAAAAATATATCATATTTTTAAATACTAAAATCTAATGTGGAACTATCTTTCCTACTAACTGTTACAACTTTTGTTAAATATTCTTCTTTTCATTTGTGTCTCTCAAAGTGGAAGTGCTTTAACCCAAGCATTTTTACTTTCACTTAACTATATATGTAATATATAGTAAGGGTAAGTATTGCGATCATGAAAATTTTTGTATATAATATATATATAATATATATATATATATATATATATATATATATATATATATATATTATATATATATATATATATATATATATATATATATATTATAATAGTCAGAAACATAACATGAACCGCATTAAATTATAAAAATAATACAAAGTATATACCTAGTCATGTCATAAATATTGTTACAATGAAATATATACAGACTTCAACATAAAAATGAATTTTTCAAAAACTTAATTAGAAAATAGAATGTATATCTATAGTGAGTAAAACAAAAAAGAAATGACTCAAAATGTCCCCCTTTTGCCTTGACACAGGCATTTAATCTCCATGGCCAGTCATCAATAACAACATGCAGCACTTCTTGAGGAAACTGCTCGGACCAGAGATTGTTTGAGGCTTTCCAAGTCAGGGTGTACTCTGTGGCATGTATCCTCTCCAGTTCTGACCTAAGCCGATAATCTAGTGGGTTGAGGTCAGGGCTTCCTGAGGGCCAAACCGAGGCAGAGATGGACTCTGGAATGGTCTTTTGCAGCCATTACTGAGTTGACCTGGCCTTCTGAGCTGGAGCAGAATCCTGCTAAAAACCCAATAACTTCCAGCAAACATAGTATCATTTAGAGGTTTAACAACAGGTTCCAAAATATCATCCTGATAATTTTTAGCGGCTGTTTTAACTCCTTTTTTACAAAACCATCACTGAGGTAGAGTGATGACCTCTTTCCACTTTTCCAATGACTTCCTGGACTTATTTAGAGCTGTGTGCGCACACAGGATCATTTTGGCAATTAAATTTTTTTTCAATTGTAAATATATTTTCATCGCTAAACAAAATATTTCGATGAAGACCATTCCTGTACGAGCACTTTGCGTATATCCATTCTAATTTTTTTTAGGGAAGTGGTTAGCCTTTGTCCTGTCATTCTTCGAAATGCTCCCATCTTAAGGTCACTTTTTATTATGCGAGACATTGATCTGATTGCGATTCTCATTTCCTGAGACATAATTTGTTGTTTCCGAATGGGATTGCTTCTGAATTGTGCAGCCACTGCTCTCACTGCATTTGCGGTTCTCACAGTGCGGTCAAGGTCTGTCACTTACAGATAGGGTCTCATTATATCTATTTATAGTGCGATTCACGAACATACGGCTGATACCCATAGGTTTCAAAGTGTTGAAAATCTCTGACCTACATTTTCCAACTTTGTGCAAGGCGATCTCAGCTATTCGGTTTTCTTTATCACTCCAAACCATGTTAACTGAGCTAAAGAAAAATATAAACTAATTGAGATTATTATTCTAACATGTAAAGAAAATAACTTGATAGAGGTACGGATTATCTAAATAATAATCAAGAATGTAAACAAAGTTCAACTTTTGTAACAGTATTTATGGCAGAACTAGGTTTACATCATATGGTAAATGTATAAATTAACTGATTAACTTAAAAGTGGGGATTCGTTAGAATCTGAAACTTCTTTACATATATAGTAAGGGAAAGTATTGTGATCGTGAAAATTTTGAAATCTGAATTTTCAACATATATACACGTTTTTTCTAAAGTTCTGAGTCCAAATAACCAAGTCCCACAAAATGGTTTGTGTGTGTGTGTGTGTATGAACAGTTTAGCTTAAAAATGTATTGTCCTATGAAACTGAAAATACATATTTAAGGTAAGTATCTGCTGGGATGTTACAGCAACTTTTTCGTCAAAATTGGCTTACCGGAAGTGGCACTAATAACATCGATTTAACACATTTTTAAGCTTTTCACAAAAATGGCTCAAATAATTTTGATTTACTTGATGTCTAAATGTACAATTAAGTGATCTTTAATATCGTTTAAATCTTATTCTTTTTGAAGTCACTTAACAGGTCTTCCTGTCATTGATTTTCAACACTTTGAAACCTATGGGTATCAGCTGTATGTTCATGTACCGCACTATAAATAAATGCCCAATGTTCAAAATGTCTTGCTCTAAAGTACCTTTAATTTGGTTTATTTTTAATAACTAACCTATTTGTAATTGTTTGCAGTTATGAAAAAAGACTAAATGTAACTTTTGAAAGAATTTGATAATTGAATAATTGAAAAAAATCTTTATTTAGGTCAAAAATAATAGTCAGAAGTTATACTTATAATATGTCATTGGAAAGTAGAGGATTTTATAAAAAACTATATCTAATATAGAAAGTCATAGAAGGTATTGAAGAGTGACAACAAAATTATAAATAATAACTTCTGAAAACTTATATTATTTAACAGAAATCACATTTCCAAGGAAGTTGAATGAAATTTTCTAACTAAATTTAAACTTTTAAAATTGTTTTTAAGTTTGAAAAAAAAGTATATGAAATCCACCGTATCAAGGCAATGACATTGGTTAAAAACTATTTCATTGTACTTGAAAGAAGATCAAGTGAAATATAAAAATATTTTATGGATGTGTAAAACATCTGTTTATAATCTTAAATACATTTACTGTAGTTTAATAACTCTAGATATATATTTGAATAATTAGGTATCTATTGTCCTTTTATTCCGAAAAATAATCATATAACCTTCTAGAAAATTTAATTAGTGAATAATGTGGTGAATTTTCCATTTTGTTAAATCACAACATTATCCACTTACAATTAGTGTGACAAACTTTGACCTATCAATAGTAGGCAATGAAAATCTTGTACTCCATTTTAGTGAACTTTACAATGGAAAATGAGAGTTTAAGAACTAATAATAGTACATTACGATCTATAATCATTTATAGATTAAATATGCAGATGTACTTTTAAATCTCTCTAGGTATTATACGTAGATCAGAGACTGGAGTTTTGTGGTTTACAAAAACAGATAGAGTTACGACTTTTTTATTGCCTACCTTCGATAAAATAGAGAGGGTTTTTGTTATTTTAATGGTCTTAATGATTTGTTAGCTGTAAGCTTTAGCTCATAGCTACATTTTAGTTAAAAATTCCCTTCAAAAATTTTGTACTAGCCCAACATTGCCAGAAAATAATTTCTATTAAAATTAGAACTCTAAGTCAAACTTGAGGGAACACCAGATTTTTTATTAAATGATATTTTAAAATCCTTTGTTTCTTATTAACTCTTTAAAACTACTTTTCTGATATTATTAAGTTTTCCTAATTATTTTTATTTAGACAAGGTTAAGCAAACTGTTGGTCTTGAAGCTTCAACTGTTGAAATAGAAGAGAGAGGTGTAAAACTTCGTTTAACTGTGGTGGATACCCCAGGATTTGGAGATGCTATTGATAATTCAGATAGGTAATAACAGCTCTGTTTTATATATATATATATATATATATTTTTTTTTATTTATAATTTTATTGAAATTTACAACTGTATTACATTAAAAATACAACAGGTAAATGTGACATTGGTAACATGACATGTAAAATATGAAGAGAAACTACCCATTGGTAGAACTCAAATTAAAGTTCTATATTAGAAGATCCCGAGGCCATCTTCTTTTCAGACGCCTCGGAGGGTTATCAGGGATAGAGGAGGAAGCAATGTTTGAAACAAGAGGGTTCGGATGGTTCTGCAGTTTGTTATGAAAGGATAGGTATCTGGATTGGGCCAAATCGGAAACATATGGAACATTAAGGTCTTTATGGATGATTTTGTTTGTGAGAAAGTAAGGAGCGCTGAGGATTTTACGAAGGATTTTGGATTGTAAGGATTGGATACGAGAGGAATTCGATGGCTTAGTGGAGCCCCAGAGCTCAATTCCGTAGGTCCAAATAGGTCTTATTATTGTCATATATATGAGTCGTTTGTAATTGAGTGAAAGCTTAGAGCGTTTGTCTAGTAAGTGTTGGAGTAGTCGGAAACGTCAAGCGGTTTCTTGTCGTTTCAGTCTTGTATGAGGATTCAACGTTTGTCTTGGTGGAGTCCTAGGTAACGAATTTGTTCAACTGGGATAAGTGGGGAATTGTTAAAAAATACTGTAGGACAGGAGGCCATAGGTTTGCGACGCAGGGTAAAGGTAATTTGATGGGATTTATTGGAGTTTATTTTAATCCTCCAGTTTTGACACCATTCTTCAAGATTTGTGATGTGTGATTGGAGAGTTTGGGATGCAATTGATGGATCGTTGTTAACTGATAGGATACACGTGTCATCGGCACAGGTGGTGATGACAGTGTTGGGATGGGTTGGAATGTCAGCTGTATAAACTGTGTAAAGGATAGGACCTAGGATACTACCTTGAGGAACACCAGCAAATTGAGATAAAAGAGATGAACAGGCATTTTAGTGATTTACTTTGAAGTATCTATCACTAAGGTAGGAACGGATAATGAGGAAGTATGTAGGTGGTAGGAATTTACGGAGTTTGTACATCAGTCCCGGATGCCAGACTCGATCAAACGCCTGTTCAACGTCGAGAAAGACTCCCGTGCAGTACATTCCATGCTCCAATGCAGAGGAAACCACGTCTATCACACGATGACATTGCTGAATAGTGGAGTGAGATGTACAGAATCCAAATTGGTGATCTGGGATTATGTTATTAGAATCTAGGATGGGATACAGGCGTTTTAAGATGAGTTTTTCTAGAATTTTGCCCATAATGGGTAAAAGAGAGATAGGACGGTAAGAGGATGGGTATTCTGGCGGCTTTGTGGATTTTTGTATCATTTTGACTATGGATAGTTTCCCAGAGTCAGGAAAATATGTAGTTCGGAGTACCGCATTATATATATACAGGTGAGGAATAATACGGCTTTCTGAGGAAGCAGTTTTAGGATCTGGGATGTGATTAGGTCATGGCCAGGAGCTTTGCGGGAAGGTAATCTATGAATGATATTGGATATTTCTGAAGGATGAAATGCTTTAGGTGGAAGGGTCAATTGGAGTGGAATATCGAGTTCTGCTTCAATACACTCAAGGTGGATTGGATTTAGGATATCTGGGTGTGGATTAAATGTTTTGAAGAGGTGTTGAGCAAATATTTCAGATTTTTCATCAGATCTAGACCAGGTTTGGGTTTCGGTAAGAAGTGGATGGTTAAAATCTTTGAATTTTAAGAGCTTTTTAGTGGTCAACCATAGTGAGTAGTTGTTAGATTTTCTGTTAAGTTAAGTAAACTTTGGATTTTGTATTTCCTAATTTCAGCTTTTAGTTGGTTAGTTAACTTATTGTAATATGACTTGTCTGATGGGTATCTAGTCCTATGCCACTTCGATCTTGCTCTGCGTTTTTCCTTTAATAAGATACGAATGTGCTGTGGCAAGTTAGTTGGGAGTTGTTATTTTTATTGGTTGATGTGTTATCGTTAATTTTGTCACTTATAGATGAAGTAAGTACCTCTATGGCTGAGTCAATGTCATTTTTAAGTGGAATATTTCGGTCCAATTTATCTTCCAAGTCTTTACGAAATTTGTCCCAGTTTACTTGTCCTGTGATAAGTGAAGGAGAAAAGGAGGGCTTAGGAACAAAAGTTGAGTGCAATGAAAGCAGAAGTGGACTATGATCTGAAGAGAGGTTATCCAGGGATTTGATAGTGACGTTGGAAGAGGAAATCTGGGAGGTGACAAATATGTCCAAGATATCAGGTCGTTTTTTTAAGGGAGGTTGGCCAATAGGTAGGATTCATAGGTGAGAGGATGGAGTAACTATTAGAAGTTGAGACAGAAGATAGTATATTACCACGGGAGTTGGATGCTCGACAACCCCATCGTTGGTGTTTAGCATTATAGTCTCCTCCAGCAATAAAGCGCGATCCGAAGGATTGGAATAAGGATTCAAACAGATTATAGGTAAGAATATGACCAGGAGGACAGTATACAGCTGAAAGTGTTAAATGGAAAGGACGAGTTGAGATGATAACCGAGGTTGCTTGAATAGCCTTAGTTGGAGTAGAAGGAATGAGGGAATGGGATAAGGATGCAAGAACCGGCATGGGAAGTGTTGTTGGGGTGGTCTGATCTATAAGTGATGTAGTCACGTATGTAGAAATTATGAACGTTGAGTGAAGTGAGTTTCTGTCAGTAGAGCAATATCAATGTGTTTGTCATGAAGAAAAATGTCAAGTTCGTCTCAGTGGTTTTGTAGTCCATTAGCATTCCATTAAAGAACAGCTAAGGGCTTTGTGCTCATCTTGGGAGATTGAAAGGAATTTCAGTAAGGATTCTTGTGAGGAGGGTTATTAGTGGCTTAATGGTATCTTGTAGATCTTTCAGGAAGGAGGCAAGGGTGGATTGGATTAAGTCGATCGGGTTTTGTTGGTCAGCTGGAATTTGTGATGGATAGCTCTTATGATAAGGAGTGTCTGATGGATGATGTACCAGTCATGATGTACGAGAGGCTGAATCATAATTAGATGGAATTTGGGAAGGAGAGTTAATGTGATGAATAGGATGGGAATGAACTGGAATTGGATCTTCAGGCGGTAGTTTGACACGTAGAGGTATCTGATAAGGAGAGATTGACTGACGTGATGATTTTGAGTGCATGTGGGAAGTCTGGAGCTTAGGTTTGGAAGCCTGGGTCTTAGGTTTGGAAGACTGAGGCGTCTGACGTCTCGGTTGCTGATTCTTCAGTGTGGAGTCAGAATATAGTTGTCTGGAGTCCTGATAGGGATGATTTGTTGATGTAGAAGGCTGTTGTGTAAATCGTGGTGCTATTTCATTCGGCAATTCAGGAAACGTTGCCAAGCTTTGTAGTTCCGGTGCTTTTGCCTGGATAGGATTCTTCTGTTCTTGGGTTTTTAAATATATGTTATAAGTCCTTTGCTTGTATAGCTTCTTGTAAACAATGCATCCGCGATAGCTTGCAGGGTGGTCCTCACCACAAAGGACACATTTTGCTGGTTGATTTAATGGTTTCTGACATGTGTCAGAGGCGTGAGAGCCGGCACATTTGACACACCGCGCCGAGTGATGGCAGTAAGCCTTTGTGTGCCCTAAGTTTTGACACTTGGTGCATTGCACGACTATTGGTTTCTGCCTCGGTTCTTCAAATTTTACTATTGAATATAGTAGTCTTTTAACTTCGAAGATTTCCGAATTATTCTGGGTTGGTTCCAAATCGATAAAAAATAATGGAAGTGGGTATTTATCGATTGGATGTAAAACAGAAGATATATGTCTTACATTGTGGCCTATTTCTTCGAGTTCTTTTTTTATAGCGGTAGTGGGAGTGGTTGAGTGAAGACCTCTCAAAACAACCCTATATGTTTTTTCGTCTTTTAATTGGTAGCAGTGGAAATCATAATTGTGTGATGTCAAGTGATTTATAAGTTTTTTATAGTCATCTTTGGTGTTGGTATTGATTTTTATGTCATTGATACGAGAAAAGCAACGGAAATTGGTCTGTCAGATTAGATTAGCTAATTCTTGACCGAACTGCATGAAGTTTTCAATTTTGCTTGCATATATGGGTGGTGGCTCTGGTTCAGTGAAAGTCTGAGTAATTTCGATATTTTTATTATTGGCGACAACAGAATTGTTGCTGGATGTGCTAGTAGGTGGTTTAGTTTCAGCTTTCATGGTTGAATTATTTTTAGAGTTTGTTTTAGTTTGTTTATTTTGGTCTACTTTAAGTGGCTGCTTTGATTTAGCGGATTTATTTTTTTTTTTATTTGGTGAGTTGCCCACCGACCCGGGGGCAGAGTTTCTGTTTTGCTTTTGTAGAGTTCGCCTGGTTAAATATTGAGAATCAGTTTCACTGATTTCGGAGAAGGGAGTCTCTTCATCTGATTCGTCACATGAAATGTTTCTCTCAGGTTCCATACCTCTAAATAATATATTAAAAAAAGAAAGAAAAAAAAGAAGAAGAGAAAGTAAAAAAAAATATATATCACTAATAAGAAAATATACAAAATAAATAATCTATTTACAAAGCTATATAAAAATATTAAATAAAACATTTTCTGTAAATAAAATAAAAGTCTTAGTAAAAAAAAATAAATAAAGAGAAAGAGAAGAAAAAAAAAAATTATAGACTGTCTGAGGTACGAACTCGCGATTTTCTCACATGAAAGCAAGAGCCGTGGCCGCAAACTTGAAAGATAAGACCCGCTGAGGGGAATTATCTGCCACGTAAACTTTCTCTACCAGACGAGTATCAATTGTTATTAAAAAGTCACTCACCTCACTAATTATTACGTAAAAATGTTTAACTGTTTATAAACACTGTTTGCAAAGTCTCAGAAAGGGATTTAAGATAACAACCAGATTACAATGTAACAAAGACAGAACGATATGAATATTGAACTGCAGTTGCGGCCATGACACTTGATACTATATATATATTTAAATTTATATTCATCATTCATTAGAATAAGTAGAGGGAAATATTTAAAAAGTTCATATAAACAATTGCCCAATTTCGATCAGTAAATTAAGAAATTTCAGATTTGAGTTTTAAGTCACGTTTTTTGTAGAATAGGGAGCGATAACTTAAAAAAATATTTGATTTAAGTAATTAAGCATTGCTTCATAGTAAACTAAACCAAATTTACTGTAAATGAAAGTAGAGTTTGACATTGTTAAAACTATTTAAAGAGAACTATGGGGCGGGCAAACACACAAAAACATTTGAAAAAAAAGTCATAAATTACATGTGATATTTTTTTATCACCTTTTAACTGTACTACTTTTACTCCAATTTTACAAAAACTTCCTCGTTTAATAAGCTTTTACACTTAATTAATATACAAAATCAAGGACTTAAAAAACATCAAATAAGTCAAATGAAACAATGATAATGGATGAGAAGGGTGCACTCCTCACAGTGGCTGATGAAGTAATGAAAAGATGGGAAAGATTTTTCAGTGAGTTGTTGAATCCTACATATGATGAATGCTATAAATTTGATCAGGATGATGGGGCAGATGAAGAAATGGAAGCAGAGGATATTGTTTAGTATCATTGCTGGACTGAGAAAATGTAAAGCCCCATCATCATCATGACATGGCAGAGCTGTTAAAAGTAGCTGGGCCAGAAATGAATAGTGAACTAATACGACTCCGTAATTAGAAATAAACTATACAATAACATTGCAATGAAAGAAATGGGTATCCCTAGAAAACTCATTGAACTAACTAGGTGTCCCATGGAAAATAATATATGTCAAGTCCTCCGGATAAGCTGAAACACTAGTAGCTTGATTGGTGTGAACACAGGCAGGGTGACGTACTGGCAACACTACTATTTAATCTAGTACTGCATAGAATTGTTAGCAAGTCGGGACTGAACCATGGCAATACAATATTTACAAGAATGGTACAAATCCTAGCATATGCAGGTGATATAGCAATTATTGGGAAATCACAAGCCGCTGTGGAGTAAGCATTCTGCAGGAAGCAAAATATATGGGGCTAAAAGTGAATAAAAATAGAACCAAAATGATGTGGATTAGGAAACATGATGTGGCTCCACACCAAGAAGTTGAATTCGGGAAAAATGCTTTTGATGTCATTCCATGCTTCTTCAATATTTCAGAGCTATAATAACAGAAAAGAAGTGGGAGCTGAAATAAGAAACAGATCAGCAGCAGCCAACAGGGTATATTTCTCCCTATCTAAAATTATTAGAGAAATAGGCTAACCAGTCGCAATACGAAAATAAGGCTGTATAAATGTCTCATAAGGCCAATAGTAACTTACACATGCGAAACGTGGACGCTCAACAATCAGTTGAGCAAAGGATTGATTGCTTCGAGACGCATCTTTGGACCAGTCAAAGAAAAACGAAGCTTGGTGTCAACACCGACATGCGGAGTTGTGCGGTGAATACCAGGACTTGAGTGTCTCCAACTTCGCTAGGTTGCAGAGAATAAAATGGATTGGTCATGTCATAAAGATGGAAGACTAGATGTCCTCTAAAAGCATACAGAAATACCCCAGGAGATACAAGACCCAGATCAAGCTGGCAGGATTTTATCCTCACAGACATAAAACAAGCAGGAATGAGCATATCACTTGCTGCAGATAGGATTGTTTAGGGCAAAATGATCGAGCAGATCAAGGGCTGCTTCATGCTTCTATCGCACTATTAAATTAAAGAAAGAAGAACATAAAAAATATTTTATTAAAGTAATTAAGTATTGCTCCATAATAAACTAGACAATATTTACTTTAGACCGAAGTTGAGTTTGTCATTGCTAAAAATATTTAAAGATGACTATTAAGTGCACAAACACTGCTATGTTATGTTTAAACAAAATCCATATGTGCTTGTTTTAGGTGAAAATTTTTTAATATTATAAAATAAGGCTGTGTTTACTTCTTCACCATATTTATTTCAATTTACATAGCTACGTTTCGGCCCGTAAGCTATTTATAAGATAAACACCATTAATTTTATATTTTGATGCAATTCTACACTCTATGAAGGTGGTATTGGTCCTATTTAATTTAATATCCTATGAATTATAACCCTGATTAGGTTAAGTCAATTTTTAAATTTGTAATTAACACTACCAGTTAATTTGTAAATTAACAGTACCACTAGATAGAATGAGGTTGCTTTTTTATTAAAATCCAGAAATATTAACGTAATATCAACAGACATTTTAGATTTTAAAACATTCTTACTTTATCCAACCATGCTTTTTGCATGTAACCCAAGTCAGATTAAATTATAAGTGTGGTAAAAGATAAAAATAACAATAGTGGAAATAAAAATAGCACTTGTTACATAGGACAAACAAAACAGAACTTGAAAAATAGAATTAACCAACATAGAAGTGATTGTAACTCTAAAATAAAAAAATGTAACACCAGCACTGGACTATCATCACATAGCACATAACAAACACAATTTTGATTTTAACATCACTAAAATACTAATAAGTGAAAAAAAAGCTTCAAAAGAAAAGTTTTAGAATCCATTTACATTTCCAAAACTTTAGACATAGTATGTAATTTCCAAGCAGATACAAAAGGATTAAACAGCAGATATGCCAATATAATAAAAAAATTGAAATTTTAATTAATCAAATGTTTTAATAATAACCCTTAATAAGTGAGCAGTATAAACAAATATATAACAATGTGCAACCTCCCAACCGCACTTATAATTTAAGCTGACTTTGGACTACATGCAAAAAGCATGGTTGGATAAAGTAAGGATGTTTTAAAATCTAAAATGTCTGTTGATATTACCTTGATATTTCTGGATTTGAATAAAAAAGCAACCTCATTCTATCTAGTGGTACTGTTAATTTACAAATAAACTGGTAGTATTAATTACAAATTTAAAAATTGACAACCTAATTAAAGTTATAATTCATAGAAAATTAAATTAAATAGGACCAATACCACCTTCATAGAGTGTAGAATTCCATCAAAATATAAAATTAATGGTTTTTATCTTATAGATAGCTTACGGGCCGAAACGTAACCATTTAAATTGAAATAAATATGGTGAAGAAATAATCACAGCCTTATTTTATAATATTAAAAAAAAGTCATAAATTATTTGTATTTTTTTTATCACCCTTCAGCTGTACTACATTTAGCCCACTTTTAGAAAAACTTTGCGGATGTATTGGATGCGGGATGTATTGTAATAAACGTAATTGCCTAAAAACACATTTTATGTACAAAAATAAAAAATTTAAAAATCATGATTTTTCAAGTATGTTTCACATAAATTAATTATGAAATTACGTTTTTCTCCCAGCTCTCCGTCTTAAGAATTGATAAGTATTTATCAGTGACAAACTTAATGTTTCTTACTAAAATTTATGTTTAAAATAAAGAAACCTATTGATTGCTTCAATTATTTTCACGAACACGTAAATATTATAGCTAGAAACATTAGGTTTATCACTTTTAAATACACATAAATTCCTATGACAGAAATCTGGGAGAAAAACACAATTTCATAACTGCCTTACATGAAAAATATTTGAAAATTGTTATTTTTAATTTTTTATATTTATAAATGAACGTTTTTTTAGGCTATTATTTTTATTCAAATACATCCCATATCATGGAAGAACAAGAAATAAAAGCTTTGTAACAGTTAATTGTAGTCATTTTTGCATAAAACACAAGTAGCCCTTAAACTACTTTAACGTGACCAGATAGGAAATCACATCATTTCATTACACAACTTGAGGTGAATCTCAAAATTTTCCCTAATAAACCTCAACTTAATTAATACGGCCATAAAGTTTATTAAACGAGAAAGTTTTTGTAAAAGTGGGATAAATGCAGTACAGTTAAAGGGTGATAAAAAAAAAAAATTACAAATAATTTATTACTTTTTTTTTTAAATGAAACTTAGCTGTGTTTGTCCACCCCATAGTCCTCTTCAAATAGTTTTAGCAATGTTTAGTTACTTGAAGCAAATAGTTTTTATTTTATCTCTTCCTATTCAACAAAATACGTGACTCACTTAAAAAATTCCAAATCTTAAATATCCTACTTCTTTTCTGGAAATTGGACAATTGTTCATGTGAACTTTTTTGTATATCTTAATGGCTACTATTAACCTTTTAAACATTTCCCTCTACTTACGGGACACCCTGTAATTGTAAAGTTGAAAGATAATGAAGTAAATCTACTAATAGTCATTCAAGTCACATTTAACTACTATAAATTTAAAGTTCCATCTTTAAGCAAACATTTCTTTTCTAGAACGTGTTTAGAATGTGATATGTGTTATCTTTAGTACTTTTGTCTAGAATATGGTTATGGTAACCAATCAATACAGAATGCAGAAATTGAAAAATTAGTCTGTATGAAAAAAAATATAGTTTCATAATAATTCATTCCAGATGATACCTACTTTGACAAAATCTCTACTAGCTGGTGGTGATTGTTTTTTTTTCACACCAAAAATATCATTATCATAGTTTTTATTTCTCATGAATTTAACTTTTATTTATTTGTTTTAGTTTCAAGGCCATAATTCAATATATCGATGACCAGTTTGAAAGATTTTTAAGAGATGAGAGTGGGTTAAATCGCAGAAATATTATGGATAATAGAGTCCATTGTTGCTTTTACTTCATATCGCCTTTTGGACATGGGTAAAAAAAAAGTGAAACTATTATTTAAATTGTATGTACATATGTATTTTAATATCCTTTTTGTTCTTGTTGTAGATTAAAGCCACTTGATATTGAGTTAATGAAGCAATTACATAATAAAGTCAATATTGTTCCTGTTATAGCAAAAGCAGACTGTCTTACAAAAAAAGAAATTCTCCGATTAAAAAAACGAGTAAATTCTTTGTAAATTATTGGGTTATATTTTTAAGTTTACTCTTTGATTGCATGATTTATGCCAGATCTCCATAAATTTCATTATGTTCAGTAATGAATTTGTTTTGTTTTTTATATCAGTTCATTTGTTTTGAATTTAGGTTTTGGAAGAAATAGAAACTAATGGAATTAAAATTTATCCACTGCCTGATTGTGACAGTGATGAAGATGAAGAATACAAAGAACAGGTTATAAGCTACTATTTAATTAATGTTATATTGGTACTTGTATTTATTTTGTTTTCCTTGTATTGTTTCTATGAATATCATATTTTTGTGTAACTGGTTACAATAATTATGCATTGTGGCATTAGTTCTCCATGAAGAATTAACTGACCTCTAAGCTTTCATATACCTAGCTCTAAGGAGACCAATGTGTTATGTGCATTGGTTAGATTGTATTTTAACTACATGTATTTTTGAGAATGATGTGGGTTTGTCCATTCATTAATTTAATTTACATACTCACACACTCACACATATATATATAATCTTTAAAGTGGCCAAAGATCTATTAGTTGGGGAGACTAGGCATGTGGACTCCATCCCAAATCAATCATTGTTGTTTCAATATGTAAAGGATTTTAATTAGCCCTCTCTTTTAATTAATTTTTATTTTATTTTTTTTGTTATAGGTAAGACAGCTGAAAGAAGCTGTCCCTTTTGCAGTTTGTGGATCAAACACATTTCTTGAAGCTAGAGGAAGAAAAGTAAGAGGTAGATTATATCCCTGGGGTGTAGTTGAAGTTGAAAATCCTGAGCATTGTGATTTTATTAAACTTAGAACTATGCTCATGTAAGTAGTAAAGTTATTAATTATCATTAATTGTTTTAAGATTCGAGCATATTAGAGATGTAATATAAATGATTTCTGAAACTTAACAGAGAGAAATTAGGCCTCAAATAAAACAGAAAAGTTTATTTGGGCTGTGGTCTAATTCCGAGGAAAGGAGTAAGTTTATTTAGTTATTTTTTTACTAATTGGTTTTTTGAATTATCACAAATCTTTTATTTTTTCTGTGATCTGGGATGTATTGTAATTAATTATGGAATATCTATTTTATTTATTTAAAAAAGTCTGTGAATTCCGATTGTTAAGTTTTTTATAACAAATAAAATACTCCTTTAATAAATAATCACATTTACTAAATGACTTATAGTAATACAATTTTATAATGATACTTAAATATTCCTAGTAATGACCATATAAAATATATTTAAATTTAAATTTTTTGTCGCTACAGTGGTGTCTTATTTGAAATTAGGTAAAAGATGGATGCTTTTGAAAACATTTCAACTACCAACAAAATACATTTATATTTTAATTTGTACATATAATTGTATTTAATATGTTACATCTGATGATCCTTGGTTGCTTATGCTTGATTGCTTTTGGAGATCTTGATATAACACAGTTTAAATGTTAGTATTTAACTGCTGCATTTGAACAATTAGTATTGATTTTAATTTGTTTTGCTTAAATCTGAGTTTTCCTATATTAAAGAATTATGCTTATGATTTCTGCAGATCAAAAACTCTTACCGTAAAAGTTTAAGCAAATAATTTTATGAGATTTTGAGATCATTTTGCAGATGGATAGCAATTTCTCTTATTAGAATATTGAATTTATTATTAAAAGGTTAAATCACTTTGTCAATAAAATTTAGATAATAATTATGCTGCTCATTCTTTACTAATTAATATCTATATGTTATCTGAGATAGTTATGCTTTATTTATTTTTTCAGAACACACATGCAAGATCTTCAGGAAGTTACACAAGATGTGCATTATGAAAATTACCGCTCTGAACGATTAGCAAAAGGTGCTCCTCCTCCTAAAAGGACATTGTAAGTAAATAAAATAATTATTTTTATAACAAGTTAATTACAACTGGTCAAGCCTGGACATTAGACTGGTCATAGGGTTGTTTACAGGTTATGCTTAATAATAGCATTAATGCTGATACTATGAATTCCCTCTCAAAAAGCTAGGATACAGCTATGTTAGCGATTCAGTCTGTAGTGGATAGTTAAGACTTTGTAAAATTTATTAGTTAACATCAGTTTACAGTTAATCAATATTTAAATATCAAATGTGTCTTTTTACCAACTTTACATTGCATTCTATATCTTCCAAGTATAAAACCTCAAATTTGTTTATTTTATCTCCATTATTGAAGTTTCCTTATCATTGTACATGCTATACATACTTTACTGTGGGCTGGGTTGCTGTTTCTAATTTTTTTCATATGTTTCTAATTAATTTTTCTGCTGCCTTTTAGTCATGAACTCTAATACACACAATCTCAATTCTTAGTCGCCTTTTAGCTTATTCATATCTTCCTGATCGGCTCTTTCACAATGATTGATGGTTATGTTGAAAACAAATGACTAGGGTTGACTATCATAACTTGGTCTGCTGACCACTGGACATCCAGCCCATAAGGGTTTTCTCATCAGCACCCTGGGCATTGCAAAATATATATATATATATATATATATATATATATATATATATATATAGGTTGTATATTTGTATCTTTTTTTGTGTGTGCATTAAAAATGATTCTAATTTCTCATGTAGAAATAAAATTATTATTGTAGATGTATTAATTTATGACTAAACATTAATTCAATTTTCTTGACATCCTATTGACTGAATGAACTTGTTAGAATAAAGTATATTTTGCATTTAATTCTCTCTATATTTTGATTTTCAGAGCTTCATCAGATGACAAAACACTTTCTCAAAATGACAAAGATAAAATTTTGCAAGAAAAAGAAGCAGAATTGAGGAGGATGCAAGAAATGCTGGCTAAAATGCAAGCACAAATGCAACAACAGCCCTTGTAATAAGGTTTTTGAACAATTTTAGATTAGTTATTCAGATGTATACATTTCATTTGAAATATTGTGAACTATTGTATTATATGTGAACTATTGAATCTCAGCTGTTAATGTTGTGATAATCTTGCTTGCCTTCATATCATTATGTTTCATTCAATCTATTTTTTAAATTTTATTTAATGATTTAGAAAAAGAAAAAACAGGAAAACGGTACTCAATTTAAAATGTATTCTTTTATTTCTAAGTATGTTAATGTCTTACTTGATATAAAGTGCATTTTGAAAGGTAGGGTCTGTTGTTGATCCCGTTTAAATTTCAAAATATTAGCTCAACAATAATAAAAATAAAATCATTAATATTAACTATCTAATGATTTTATTACAACAGCTAATGGTTAAACAATTTATTTGACGAGTGTCTCAATCTTTAGCCTTGAGAAAAATTTATGAATCAAATTCACTAACTCAAATTCTAATTTTCCTTTAGTCTCTATTTAATATACTGTTTTAGATACAGTCCAATAATGCTCTTTTCTTCTGTGATGCTCTGTCAGTTTTCTTTGAATATACTTTGAAGTACTAAAGCTTTTATTTAATAAAAATACAGGGTTTCAATAGTAGTAATGACTGTACATAAATATAACTGGTCCCAAAACAATATTCTTTAAAAATCTATAATCAAACTCCTGGTCATTTTTCTTGCTTTGACTAGTCTTTGGGAAAAAATCATTTTAATTCACAAGACCATATCTTACAGAAATATTCCTTCACAACATTATGCATTAGTTTGTTGCTATTGTAATTGAGAGTATAAAACCTTTTTCATTGATTCATATAGTCTAATAATTTCCTTTATAAAAAAAAAAATTGTGAGCAGATACCAATGTTGAAAATTGGCAAATAAAAAAAAAAAAAAGAGGCTTCAAAAATGTGTTACAGAGAATAAAATAGTTTTTTTCTTAATGTTTGTGCTAAAATAGAAAAGAAGTTATACCATTCTATAAAGTTTAGCTTACCAAAAATATGTTTTAACCTATTTATATATTTTTATTTGCCAATGAACTACCATGGATCGATATCCTTTGTAACTTTAGAATGATTCGCCCAAACAGCGGTTGATTTAATCTTAAAATGTATAAGTATGTATAACAAAAAATATTAATTAATGAAAAAATAAATTATTTCAATGTTCAATGGAATTAACTATTTATTGGTACTATATTGATTTAAGTTTCTTTTTATTTTGGAGCAGGCTTAAACATGTATTCACACCCAAACACGTATACTGTTCTTATTGGTAATCGTGGTATTCAATAATTATTGGTAACTGTTATTATGGTTCTTTTTAGAATATCTTTGAAGTCGATTTTGTTTTACTTTTCTAAAAAGTTATATTTAGTTTGTAGTTTTGCAATTGATTTAGTTTACTGGTAGCTTTCATGTGTCTTCTTTGAATCACTGGTCAGTTATATAGAAACTGTATATTTTGGATAATTTTAAATATACATTTATGGATTGTATAATATATATGTATACTAATTTTATATTTTTATATTTTCAATTTTTAAATATATCATGTAAATTTAAGATTTTAATCGTGATTATTTGATGATGAAGTTATTTATATATGTATTAAACTATGGTAATGTTTGAAGCCATTGTTTGGCTTATCTTGTTATGAAGATTAAATAAGATATAAATTATTGAATTTTGTATAAAAATGAGTTTGATCTTTGTGTGCATGGGCCTATATGTGTGTGGTAATGCAGCTAGTCTGTGCTAATAATATTTTATTATCACTTTTAAGGATTTAATCTTTGAAAAACTGCAATTATTCATTGATTTTACATTTTTGTTTTATTTATATCTTTGATATTTCATTTTTATATTTGGCATAACAGTGCCTTTCTCAGGTGACTCAAATATAATTGGTATAAGTACTTAAAGGATTGTGATACTTAATAACAGTAGATAATTAAAATAATCTAATATATGATATGTGTAATAATTATATACATATATGTGTATTTATAGTTGTAATGTATTCACTTTATTTGTATAGATGTTAATACACTTACATGTATCTTATTTTTTACCCAAAATCAAATTTCTTACAAAGTTTTTGTAAAAAAATTCTCCCTCAAATATTTTTGGGACAAAATTATAGTTAATATGGTTGTAAAATATAATTATATTTCTTGATAGCAGACTTATAAGAAGAGAATTTAAGATGGTACCATATTTATACCTATAATTAGCTGGGTTTGAAATTGATAATTAAAAGTTAATAAATTAAAATTAAATCTGATTAATATTTTAATCAGTCAATTTAAAAATCATTTTTTAATTGTTATTAAGAGTGATTTCTAATGTGTAATCATACGGTTGAAAAACCATTTCAATTATTATTTATAAGGTGAATCTTATCTTAATAATATATAATTCTGTAACTATATATGTTTGTTGCTGCATTACCAGTTGTCTCGTTTGTTATTTTCCAGTTTCACTGCTAAAAAAAATATAGGCGCTAACTAATAGAGATAGTTATTATTATAAAAAAAATGTTTTATGATTAAATAACAAAGCATAATATTATTGATCCACACTAGTTGGAACTGGAAGAGTTAAACTTAAGAATATTTTTCTATGTGCTTCCTTGTCAGCTGAGTGAGCAAAGCACCGAATATTTATAGTTTACAAGGCCTATTTATAATAGTAAAAGATCCTTATCATTTTTTTTTTTTTTTTTTTGTTATTTAATGGTATTGATACTCTTATTATTTCCATTTATGTAAACAACATTGCAAATGCAGAGAAAAAATTAATACCTATGTATCCAGTTTTATTTTTTTATTAATTTTTTTTTAATCAAGAATTAATCAATATTTTTAATGCAATCAATATAACTGATCGATATTTATTTTTGATCATAAATTCAGTCTTTTTTTTATATTTCTTGTTAAAAAATAATGATTATTTCATGATTTGTTGAAAAAAATTATCTATTTCAAACTCTAATAAATAGTTTGTAATTACATAATCATATAATAATCATCTTTAATTGTCAATAGATGGAGACGTTTAATTTGTATACATTGTCAAATGAATTGTAATTAATAAAGGTTTATCACTCTTTATTTTATTTTTTTAAATTATATTGCCACATCTATATTGACAGTTAGAAAAAAAAATAGAATAATAAATAATGAAGTAATATTATTACTTGTTAGGTTATAATTTGGAAAAATTCCAAACCAGACAGTTTTATGTCTCCATAATGCAGGCAAAGAAAACAAACCCATCAACGTTTCGCCAATTCAGGCATCATCAAGACAGAAAAGAACAGCTAATCAGAACATCACTCCATGTCATCAAATTGTATACTGGAAATACTTCTTTAATGTTCTGATTAGCTGTTCTTTTCTGTCCTGATGATGCCTGAATCGGCGATAAATTGACTGGTTTATTTTCTTCACCTGAATTTTGGAGACATTCGGCTGTGTGGTTTGGAATTTTTCCTAATTATAATCTAACATTTATGTTCTGTCTCTTGATTAGTTAGTTACTAATTTATATTATTATTTGTGATATATTTTATATTAATAAAATTATATTATACCAACTTAATACATATTGTTTTCACTAAGATAACTTGAACTCTAAATTGAGTGAGTCCTCTTATTATATTAAGTAATAAATTTTTATTTCAATTTAATGCTGTCCTAAAAAATCATATATTATTATTATTGCCAGTGGATTAGTAATTGGCTATCGTGGATATAATGATTAGAAGTTGATGAAGCTGTCAGGATCTCATCTTGGTCATGCAGAAGGTTGGCACAGTTGAAATGGATACAATATATCTTTATTTGAATTATCACTAGAATGAATAGTTTCACTGATATAAACTAAAAAAATGAAATTTTTGAATCACAAATTTATATTTTCGACTTTAAATACACAGGGTAACTGAATATTATTTCATTTTTTAAAACAGTAAATACTATAAATTTAAAGGGTTTGTAGCTTTTTATAAGCCCTTTTTGTACATAAGTTTTCTACCTATGTAAGGGTGTCCATCTATCTTTATCATGCCGCCATTTTATATTCCAGCAGCTATATTCTTAGACGTGCATTTATCTCATCAGGCCTTTAGACATGGTCAATTAATAAAGACAAACCTGTCCACCTCCCCTCTCCCTAAGGTTGATGGCGCAAGAACATATCCTCTTTATTTCCATGATATTTCATTGCTCATCTTTTCTTAAAAGCAGGGTAAGTAAAGGATGTTGGATATGTGGTTTTTCCAGGAAAGCGTTTGATCGAAGGTTATTCCAAGGTTTTTGATAAACTGATAAAATTTGATGGGATTATCATGTAGGAAAAGAGTTGGAATATGTGGAACAGTTTTAAGGAGGTGATTGGAGCCAATTAAGATTGCATTTGTCTTTTCCGCATTCAACTTCAACATGTTGGCTCTCGCCCAGTCACAAATCCTATCCAAGTCTTCTTGAAGTTTTTCTGTGGCTGATAATAGGTCGGAAGGCGGGAAGGACTAGTATATTTGGAAATCATCAGCATAGATATGGTATTGGGAGTGATGGAGGAAGGTCATTAATGTAAATAGCAAACAGGGAAGGAGATAGAGAGGAACCTTGAGGGACACCACAGGAGAGGGGGAGAGTCTTGGATGGGAGTTGACCTGGGACAACTACATACTGGGACCGATTTGAAAGGAAAGGATTTGAACCAGCGCAGGACACTGTTGGATAGAGGAAGGTTGTGCAATTTCGTAAGGAGGATTAACATCCTTCTTAACATTTTTAACAAGATTAACATCAAAATCTTACCATCCTCATCCTTCTAGATTTTTCTAAAGCGTTCAAAACAGTTGACCAGTTATGGTCAACTGTTTTGAACGCTTTAGAAAAATCTAGAAGGATGAGGATGGTAAGATTTTGATGTTCAATGGAGTTTTGGAGGTCATGGGTTATTTTAAGGAGAGGGGATTGCGTTGAGTAGCCAGGTCGAAAGCCAGAATGGAATGGATTGATAAGGGAACGTTCTTCTAGGAAGTTGGATTTGAACAATCATAAGTTGATTTTGAACAATGCGTTCTAACGGCTTTGAAAGGTTGAATAGGAGAGAAATAGGACTGAAATCCTATTTCATGGTAGTGTGCAGTAAGGGATTGTGCATTGATGTGACAGGAATTCAGGATATTAGTCATGACTGGAGAGTTGGGAAGTTGAATTTAGGAAAAAGTGATCGAGGATGAAGGAAAGGATATAACATTTTTTAAGCATAAAATCAAATTCAGAAATATAAAAAACAATATAAACATAAAATAAACTTTGAGATAAAAAAAATAAGTTTCCAGTATTTCGAAATAAATATTTCGTTAAAATTAATTTATAACATAAGAAAATATAAATGTCTCCTTTGTTTGGATAGATTAATAAAGATCGGCAAAAAATGAGGCAAAGTTCTAAATAATTTATGCAGGAATAAAAAAAATTTAAAATAAAAATTAAAATATTTCTGATGAAGAACAATTTATACAAAAATAAGAAATGCTGCATTTATAAAAAATAAAAAAAAGGTGGAAATGAAAATAATAATATTTCTAGCGAAAAAAAACAAAGTCACTGCAAACTGTAGGTGACTTGTGTACAACGTTCAACTGAAAACGTCCAGATCGATTGGTTTTCCTATGGTTACTACTGGGTAACCATCTGACTTTCTGCAGCGAATTTTACCCCCACTAAACCAGACGTACTTTATTTTTGCAGTCACCCTCTTCTGCCTGGCTAACCAATAAAGGAGTTTATTGGTGGGCGTCATAGCTTCACTCACGTAAATGCGGTGCGAGTTTTTCTCTTCCCAGCCTAGATGCCGTGTAGAGAAATCTCTCTTCGCTCTTCGTTGCCGCACCAGCTCATCTCTCACCGCTTGTCTGATGAATCTGACTATAATTGGGCCTGGAGTCCCTTCTTGCTTGGGCTTGAGTCTAATGGCGTGATCAAGATCATCCGGACTTAACTTGAAGCCCAGACCCGCTCCGACGCTAAGGATGGTACCAGTTATAGTTTCACCCGGCTTCTCCGGAATCCCTCTAATTTCTATTGTGTTTTTCAGTTGGAATTGTTCTGTGGAATTCAGACGACTTTCCAGCTCGACTATTTTTGTTTTCCATGGTTAGTTTTTCAACCTCGACTAACCACTAAACAGCACTTTAATATACCACAATACCTGACATATCGTACTGACCACCCTGACGGAAAAGCACATGCCGGTACTGCTGTAATTCCTATAAAGACCATTCTACCCCAACACCTCCTTGACCTAATCCACACCAAACGCCGTGCCAGATTATTGTGACAACGTACCCGACATCCTACCGCTGCTCCTATAATTATTACTGCAAACAATTAAAACTGGAATTAGCCGCCTTCAGATCACAATCCTTCAACTCCTACCTATCCTCCCTCTCTTCTCGCTACAATTCCCTTTGGAAAACCACAACAAAAATCCTAAATCCTCACCGCATTTCCCATCCCCTCCGACGAGATGATGGCTCCTGGGCATCTGAAGAAGATAAAGCTGAGGAGTTCGCCATTCACCTATCAAATACATTTATTTCACATCCGGAATCCCATCCTGCCCACACCGTAACAGTAGAAGAACTCCTTACATCACCAATCCCACTTTCCTTGCCCCCAAAAGCTATTCATCCTTCCGAAGTGAAATTTCAATTAAAACAACTAATCCCCCGTAAAGCTCCTGGGCATGATCTCCTTACCCCTCAAATCCTTCGACAACTTCCATCCAAAGCAGTCATATTCCTTACATATATCTACAATTGTATCCTACGCACAACCCACTTCCCTCTGTTATGGAAACACTCCATTATTATCCTTTTCCCAAAACCAGGCAAACCTCCCAATAGCTCAACATCCTATAGACCAATTAGCTTTCTCCCAATCCTTTCAAAAATTTTTGAAAAGATCCTTTTGAAACGAATCCTACCCATTATAGAATCCCAAAATATTCCTTCCCATCAGTTTGGTTTTCGCTCTCAACATTCTACTGTTCAACAAGTACTCCGAGTTGTTGATCATATTTCCTCAGCTCTAGAAAACAAGGAATACTGTTCGGGTGCCTTTCTGGACATTGCACAGGCATTTGACCGGGTATGGCACTCCGGACTGCTCTCCAAGCTTAAAATCCATTTACCTCAGTCCTTGTACCTAGTCCTCCGATCCTACCTCTTTGACCGCTCCTTTCGAGTTCGCTGTGGAACAGAATTTTCCAATATCTACTCCGTTAAAGCCGGTGTTCCCCAAGGCAGCGTCTTGGGTCCCGTGCTTTACATCCTCTTTACTGCTGACATCCCTGTTCATCCCGATACTTTCCTTGCAACATTCGCTGACGACACCGCAATCTTATCATCCAACTCTGATCCCGAAATAGCATCCTTAAATCTCCATAGCCACCTCACCTTGATTGAGCACTGGTGTAATAACTGGCGCATTAAAGTTAATGAATCTAAATGCCAACATATTACATTTACACTCCGACGCAATTCCTGTCCACCTGTACTCTTTAATTCCATCCAGCTTCCTTACTCAGAGACAGTCCGGTATCTTGGCTTTCATTTAAACCGAAGACTAACGTGGAACCCGCATACTAGACTCAAAAGACAAGAACTCAACCGACGATACGGCCAACTATACCGACTACTAAGCAGA